AACTAAAGGAACGCGAAACCACGAACCGAGACAACACCTTATACGAATCGGTACGTTAACTCAACGTCAACCACCGAAAGAATCCCAAGACATCGAAATGTTGAAACACGATAAAAGAAGAAATTGACAAAGCAGTACGAACAGTGACCAGAACCCGTCAACAATGTACTCAAATGTGTGGTAGCAATGACAGTGCCTAATGCCTGCCCACACTTACTCATCAGTAAGGTAGCATCGATGGCGACTAGCACCCACCAACAACACATAATTTGGTACGGTAACGTAACAGTATAAGGCACTAGTTCATAACCTGCCCCCAACCAGGTTAACTCAAAAAAACCTAACAATACGAATGACATCAATGTCGGAAACGATCATTACCAAAAGCACTACGGAAACCAGGCATTTTGTGAAAGTGGGTTATGGTCCAATGATGTCCGACTAGACCATCTTGGCCAATCCCAAAACTCTGACAACAATGTTATAGGCATCGTTACGCTTAAGGCCTTAAATCCTTGATGTAAGTAGAGCTAGCAACTCTTACATTGCAAAACACCCTTGACACTTCCTGACAACGTTGTGAAACTATGAAGGAAAAAGGAAATGAAACGGTGCCTCCCTAGCGCGCATCTCACTTCACTAGATAAAGACTGTGATTCTACGTTCACATGAGCCTTACTCGCATCAACCGTCAGACTAAGGTCTCGAAACACCCAACCAACAAAACAAACAAGAAGGTTCCCGACATGGGTCCTTACAGAATGAATTTCTCTTATCCAAGGACGAAACTCGTAAAACAAGAATGCATCCAAGGGCTACGACAGACCACAAGTGACAATGTTAAAACCAGACATAAAAGTAAACAGCTAGCATGCAACATAGCAACGCACTATCTACTCACACAAGTAGTAAGATCACATAAAGTATGTCAGTGTATACAGGAGAAGAACGTAAAGCATGACGATATGCTGCATATGATCATGTCAAGATGAAAAAGGGTATAAAATGTACTTAGATAGATGAGCATATACTATATGCTAAGATAACAAGTATACACCATGTGCTAAGGAAAACGAGTATATATTTTACACTAAGACAGTCAAGGTAAGCTTCTAAACAAGTTACTACATAAGCAAACAGACATGTTATCAAATCGGAACAAGTTATTAAGAAGCATTTAAACACGTAGAGCATGGTAACGCAAGCATAATATGCACCCAAAACTCGTCGTCCTAAGGTTTTCGAACCTAGGAGTTCTGATACCACCTATGACGGCACTGGTTTTTTAAGCCAGTGCTCCCTGTGATGAACCAAAGATTAATCCGATAGCGAATCCAGATGCAGAAGTAAGAAACAAGACAACGGTCTCCTAAGGCACAACACACCTCTAAGACACTTTGATGACCTTCCATTAGATCGTGGAACTCAATGAGAACTGACGGGGAAGCAAAAGATCAGAAAAATAACAATTAAGCCCCAGGGGCAAAATAGTCATTTTACATGAAAATGACGTCCCTAGAATGTATATCATTCCCGAGACACATCCGTGACTTCCCACGAAGTCACAGAACTCAAAAGAAAGTAGCGGAAGCGGAAAGCAAAAAAAGCCGGACAAAAGGGCAAAATAGTCATTTCTGAAAATATGGATTCGGGTGCCACTGAGCACACTACTAGAAAGACGACGACAAACTAATCAGGATGGACTCAAGAATCGCATGATTCGGAGTTCGGACGAAGGAGAAACGGCTAGACGAAGAAAAACGAGCACTTAAGGCTAAAAGGGTAAACTGGTAATTATCCAGGATGACCCGGGTGAAACCGAGCACACCGTTGGAAAGACGGTGAAAAATTAGTTAAGTTTAAAAAAAAGTTCACTCGATTTGGAGTCTGGACGAAGGAGAACGAGCGAAAACAAAAATCAACGTCAGGACGTTGAGATGGGGCACTGTGGGCGCCCACAAGCACCCCCACGAGCATCCTGATAAGCACCCTGACATGCAAGGGAAAAAAAAAAGGTTCTGCCAGAACTGAGAGCTAAAACAAGGTCCGAAATAAATTTTTCTGAAAAAACACGAAGAAGAAACATCCCCTAAAATCAAGTTTTCTAATCAAATTAATTAATTATTTCTAGATTTTAAAATATCTCCGAATACTCTAAATTTTACATATGTTGAAGAGTATGCTAGGGCCTAATATAATATGACATCACATATTGATTTCAAGCTAAATAAGACCACATGAATTAAATTTTCATTCAAGAAAATAATTAAATAAAAACTTCAATACTTGTCTAAATGCTCTCAATTTAATATATATCAATGAACATATCAAGGTGTAATTTAATATCATGTCACAAGTTTAAACCAAGGTATAACCAACCAAGAAAATAAATAAATAAAGTTTCTAGATTTAATACAAAGGCATGTGATTAAGTTGTGTAAGCATGGAATACACTCGATATAACCAAAATATAAACATAAGACATCTCCTACCTCAATTTGAGATGAAAATCTCAAATCCCCACCGAAAGAAAAGTGCTCTGAATCCGACGATACTCCTAGGTTATGTCGGGGACAACGAGGGGAGCAACTTTAAGCTTTGAGGCACCATGAAAATCCAAACCTGAACTCAAGACCTGAAATTGAAAGTGGTCGGAAATGGAATCTAATAAGGGGGAAAGGTAAAGCACGTTGAGGTCTACGATAAACGTTAAGGCGGGGAGACAAAATACAAAGGAAATCAAGTGAGGAAGAAGAAAGAGTGGTGGAATCCCCTTGGGCTGCCATGGCTGCCAGCCAAGAAGAGGAAGAAGGGCTGAAAATTCTGACTTTTTAAATTAGGGCAACCTATTTTATATAAATCCCAAAAAGTGCCCCGAACGGGCCCCGACGGGTCCGGAAAAGTGGAATCTGCGTAGACGCGCTCAAACGGTAAGACACCATGAACAAAAATGAACCGTAATGAAAAAATATGAACAATGGAAGAAACAATGTCAAAAATTGAGTCACGTGCAGAGAGATATGCCCCGAACAAGTAACCGGAGCCGAAATAAAATTAGGAGAAAACGACCAGAAGGGAATTCTAAGAGTACACGACTCGACGAAATGTGAAAATAAATCTCATACGAGGATCCAGGCTCAAAATGAGGCATTTTGTAATAGCTTTCGTTAATTGCACAATGGCCCCTCCAAGAAAGGGTAACTGCAAAACTGGCCAAAATAAAAATATCTTCCAAAAGATACTTTCTTCAAAACCACCGAAATAAAATATCCTCAAAAGATATTTACGAAAAATACCCCAAGAAACAAGAATGTTTCTGATGAATCTTTGCATCTATGCCCCTATAGACACCGGGAGCAACCAGAGTACTTTTTTACAAAAGTAAGGATACGTATTTCATGGAAACCACTTAGAATGAAGGCACGTGAAGTTAGAAATCAACTCCGAACACGAAAAGTGAGGTTGTGCCAAAAAGTGACAAACGGGGAAAAAGACGAAAGGTGAATAGTGTCCAAAAAGTGAAAATGTGGAAATGACTCGGTCTTTAAAGGAAGTTGTCAATCCAAAGGAAAGAGTCTCGGAAACCATTTTCGAGCACTTGAGACGACACAAAGTGATGAGAAACAGGACTCGGAAAAGAAAATTAAACGGAAAAAATTTATCCGTAAAATTTGAGAAAAAGGAAAAGAGGAAAAATGACCGGGTCATTACAGATATCAATTCCAAATATGAAATTGGAATCTACATATATGAAGAGTATTGTAGATTGATCTATATTAAGCCCCTATCTTTATTATAGAGTACGACTTCATACACTACAATAACACTAATAGATAGTATATGGTAGAAATAAATATTCGTATATTTATTTCTACCATACTATCGAATCTCATAGAATAGTGTTAATTCTAATCCGCTCATTTCATTGAAGACGCAAAATTGGAATCCTTTTCATTTTTTTTCTTCAATCAACTCAGAAGTCAAGTTTTATTCAAATTAATTAATCATTTTGACTGATTGTTTTTACATAAATGATAAGTAGGAAAGCAGTAGGAACTAGAATGAATAGTGCAGTAGCAATAAATGCTAGAATATTTACTTCCATAAATATACCAAAATCCAAACTCCATACCCAGTACTCACAAAAGTCTACCCACAATCCAGACTCATCTCATCCTTACCGCTAAAAGTCCTCGGTTGCTCAGCATTTGTCCATATACCACCTCATCAGAGGAGCAAACTAGATCCCAAAGCCATAAAATGCCTATTCCTCGGATACTCCTCCCACCAAAAAGGTTACAAATGCTACTCTCCTACTACTCGGAAGTTCTATAACACCATGGACGCAACTTTCTTTAAGAATCAGCCTTTTTACACCAAAACTCATATTCAGGGGGAGAATTCTATCGTGCTAGAAGAATATCAGTTTTGGCAAGATGCGGATATCTCTGTGCCTTCCATCACCTCAAGTTCACCTACTCCAAGTAACACCACCACACCTCCAATTGTGCCTATCCTACTTGAGTTAACATCCAAACCTGTTCATTTCAAACCCACTCCAAACATTCACTACAAGAAAAACAGTTTTTTAGAATGCCCTTTTTACCACGATTTTAAAATAACCGTGATAGAAAGTGTCTTTTACCACGGTTTTATAAAGTAATATATTTTACCACGGTTATTGTAAAATCGTGATAGAAAAACTTTCTACCATGATTAATGAAAAATCGTGATAGTAATTATACTTTCTACCACGGTTATAATAGAACCGTGATAAAAAGTGAAGTTATTTCACCACGGTTATAAAATAACCATGGTAGAGAGTGAATTAATTTCACTTAAATTAGCGCGTATTTATTTAAACTTTTATACTGCTCTTTCTATCACAGTCAATAAGTTATTCTACCACGGTGTAGGCACCGGTAGAAAGTGAATTCGGATTAAGGCTGTACACGGTCTTATTCCCGCTACTTTCTTAAAATTTGAGGGCAAAAATCATTTTAGACCACACACACCATACCACACATGTTAGGGCAAATCATTTCAGCCTCCTAAATGGCCTCCATCTCTATTCTCGTTCTCAACTCTGAACTTGCCCTCTCTCTGTCTCTGCAACTGCAAACTATAAAATCTACAAGAATCAGATCAGCCTCCCAAATCGCCTCCATCTCTATTCTCGTTCTCAACTCTAAACTTGCCCTCTCTTTGTCTCTGCAACTACAAACTACAAAATCTACAAGAATCAGAACCCATATCGGCATATCATTTCAAATTGTTTAAAAAATTAAAACCCATATCCTTCAGTTTCCATCGCCCGCTGTTCCAGTTCGGGTTCGCCGTTCAAAAGCTTCAACCTCAGGCCGTTGTCTCTCAACTCTCAAGCCCTCTCTACTCTCTCATAAGGATGACGTTGAGTAAAGACTTAAAGATCGACCAAAATTACAGAACAGGTAAATGTTTCTCTTATATCTTTCATCTCAATATGTTAGCAAAATATTTATCTCCATATGTGGATAAGTAATTGTGATGAAAAATCAGTTGGGGATTTTGGGATTTTACTAAATTAATTTGATGCAATTTATTGATTTTCTTGAAGCCCTAGGTTTAATTAGAGTTCTATTATGTTTTATGTTTGTGAATTAATTAAAAAGGATCTCAAAATTTCGTCATCTCTCGTGCATTTTAATGTGAAAATCCTTGTGAAGCTCAATCATGATCAATGAATTGGCATCTATAACTGTTGCTGTGATTTATGAAGATGTCTAATTTTCGGGGAGCTGTTTAGCTTCTGCCAAAGCATGATTCCGTTGTAGTGACCACAAAGGATTTTGGGTATTCCCACAAATTTGGTGTGTTTTGTTTTGCCATGTTAAATATGTTTTACCCTATCATGGTCGGGGAATTATGATATTTTGACTAGACTTCCACCTTTTGTTGATTAGCAAACCCATTTGGGTTTTTAGCTTTAGTAACTCCTTGTATTAGGAAAAACTTTGAATGGATTAGTGTAATGACAACACTTATTGTGTCCATGTCTTTGGTGTGGATGGTACACTAATTCACCTTTTTTGTTCTGGTATCAGTTACGGAAAGTAGCATTAGTTGGTGATATTGCTTTAGTAAAATGACATGGTATCATTGTTCTGTTAAAAAAAAAAAAAAATCACATTCCCTGTCATTTTAACGCCAATGACAGTGTCATGTCGAAAGATCCCCCCGCCTTTGTTACAGCGTGCTTTTTCTTTTTTTCTTTTTTAGAAGAATTGAGACTGGATTTTGGTCTTCAAGCTCTTATCGACTTGACAGATTGCAGGGGGGAGATAACAGCTTACTTTCATTCTCTCCCTCAAGCTAATACAAGCAAGGATGCAGACTTATGGATCCCAACAAACACAAAACACATGGTGAAGTCATCATTTCTAGTCCAGCTAATAGTTTATGTACCATAAAAGGCTACCCCTCATGTTAATGATCAAAACACATTCTCTACAATTTCTATAATCATTGTAGTTGGACTCCATAAGCTTTTTAGCTACCTTCAATCTATAAAAGGCTAGTTGTTTTATATGTTTGTTGGGCAACAAAGCAATTTAGTAATAAAGCAAATATATATATTAAGGGTGATTTACACAGAGGATTTTTACTTTGATTTGGTTGTTTACAGAAGAGAAGGGATGGCCCCTTTTCATACTAGCATATATAAAGAGAAGAGAATCTTAAGATCATGCCTATATGAAGCTAGATTTTACTAAAAATAACAAGTGTCTACTTTTCACCCTCACTTAAAATATAAGACTTATAAATGTTCATAATTAATCTTCAATACTATTATACGCCCCTTTAAAAAATTTGATTATGCTCCACTGTTTTTGCTGTATTTTTATATCCTAAGATTGCAACAACTACTATAATTCCTCTTGTTCTTGCAAATTTCTTTGCCATGAAGTAAAGCTTCAATAAAAAATAAAAAAAAAACTTAAGCTTTTATAACTCAGATAGCTGTTGAATATAAAAAGATAAATTTCATCATTCCTCTCATAATCAAATGCAAATTTCTCATGCAATAACATAAGAGGGAAAACTTTATTTGTAACCTTTTTTTTTTTTTTTTTTCCAATAAGTATACATTTGTCACTATCAAAAAAAAAAATTTATGTAGCAACTGTCTAACACTTGTAAACTACAAAAAAGGAAAATATCAAATAAACAATTTTTTAGCTCCTTTTGTTTTCCTTCATCTCTTTTGCACATCACCATGCTTAACTTTTCAAGAGACTTCTACTTAGCTGTGTTTTGTCATGTGAGCTGTCTTTCAATTCCTTTTTCATATGATTAGTATTTTGTAATTCTTGTTGAACATTCATGTAGGAAGAAAATAACTAATGTGACTCATTTTCCTGAAAAATATATGCTTAATTCTTTTCATTTTTATTTTTTTAACAAGCAATCCTTTGTGAATGATGAGGATTCTTCATCTTGTGCATCTAAAATTACAAATTTTGGACTCATGCCCCTACTTTTTTGCAATTTTATCATGGCGAATCCAAGTTTCCTCATAATTTCTTTGATACCCTTTTCTGCCTTTGTCCTTGATACACCTTTGATAAATTTTGATTTCCTCCTTGACTTTTAAGGTCTTAACCTAAATGAGCCTCTTCCTCTTTCTTATTTTAGTCTCATTCAAATTTAATTTATAGTCACGTAAATGCATGTCCAGATGGTGCAGACCAAACTATTACATCAATTGAAACTAGGGCTGCAACTCGGGTTGGGCCAGCCCGAATTTACCCGAGCCTAGCCTGAAATTTTCAGGGCTTGGGCAGTGTTTTTCTATTCTAGGTTTGGGCTTGGGCTAGATATTCTGAGCCCGAATTAAATTCGGGCTGGGCTTGGGTTGATATTATATAAAGCCCGAAGCCCAGCCCGAGCCCGAAAAGGGTATATTTATTTTAAAACTATGTTATTTCACAAGTGTATAATAGCTTAATTGGTAATGTGTTTGGGATTTTTCTTGGAGGAATTCTGTTCGAGTCCTTGTAGTTGCACAAATTTTTTATTTTTTACATTCTGAATACAGAAGCGTGGGCTCATGGGCGGGCTTGGGTAGGAGAAGTTAATTATGGGCTGGGCTTGGATGGCTGGGAGTGGGCTTTAGGCGGGCTCGGGCTTGGCTTGGGCAAAAAATTTTGTATATGGGCTGAGTCCGAATTAAGTCTTCAACCCGCCCAACCCGCCCGAGTTGCAGCCCTAATTGAAACTACTCACAATTTGATTGTGGAGCATTGGATTAATTAAAAATAAATAAAAATCCTTAGAACACTAAGAGTGAAATATTGATTTGATTTCAGCAACATTGCTGTCATCTTCCTGATCATGAAATTTGTTGAATTTAATGCAGATCACTGGGAATAGCGTTCCCTGATGTCAAGTACTTTACAAAAGCTTCAGTTGCTGCCTTGCGAATATTTGATAGGATTGACCGGATTCCTGAAATCGATGGTGAAGACTAAGGTAGGTTCAAGCGTGTGTTGATCATTTAACCTGCCTAGTAATTTTGTTTCAATAAGAATGATGAAGTTAAAGCAATATTGTTTCCTCAATTTATTGGTGATCCTATTCAGAATATAAAGTACTGATGTGATCAGATGTAATAGGTGGGTGAAAGAGGGGCTCTTTTATCAGGTGGACAAAAGCAGCTGATTGCCATTGCTAGAGCTATCATTAAGAACCCTGTGATTTTAAAAGGTATATCTATTATACTGTATTATATATGTTCTTTGGAATGGAGTCCTTTCAACTCTATTTTTCATATTATAATTTTAAAAGAACAGTCAACCAGATGAAAATTTTAACTATTTTTTGGTTTAAATTAAAATTTCATTTCAAAAAAATTAACAAACAGTTCTCAAGTTTCTCTAAAAGTTCATAAGTTAATGGTCTCAGACCCCTTGCCTAGTGGAGGACTTGATGTTTTCCTTGTCAATCATGGATGAGGAATAGAGATCTATTACAACCCCATTTTTTGTAGTTCATTGCAATGTGAAAATTGTTGTCTTGTAATTGTTTCATTTGTTTATTTTGTGTTTGACTGATATACTTAATTTGGGTTGTGTCAACTGGCAAGGCATCATGTTGACAAGCCCCTTGTTAGGAGATATGCTACCAATTCTTGTTTCAATAATACAAGAGATAGGAAGTGAGGATTTTGATTTTGTTTGTGTTTAAAGAAAGGGTAGTAAATCTGGTATGTGTGGGGAGGGGGGAATGGAAGGTACATATTAATCGATTTCTTTCTTCATTCCTCATATATCTGCAACATACATTTTACTTTAGGTCTTCCACATTTATAAGAGCCTAAAAACTCAATGTATATAATTTTGGCAACTTTACAATTTGGCAACTTTACAACTTGTTTTATATTCTCTTACTTCAACTATTACATTTTGTAGGTCAAAGCTAAGATTGCGGGATTACGGTTCCCACTACTTTTTTTGTTGCCGTTATATTTTTTGTATGGCACATGATCAAGAAGTTGCATATATGGAAGAGAGAGACTAAAACAGAGTAAGAAGATATGAAATTTTTTTGTTTTATTTTGGTTAAGTAAAGATATAAGCTTGTGGATCATATACTTCTTTGAAATTTGTAAATATTTTTGTATAAAATCATGATTTGGAATTGGTAATATATATATATATATATGATGTTATTGGCCAGTTGTAAGTTATTTTGGTTATGATGCTATTTTTTATTTATAGGGTTTGCTTCTTGGGTCCTTGCAAGGCTAGTAGTAGGGCAAAAAAAAAAAAAAAAAAGGCCTCATAGGGGTTGTACACTATTTAAAAAAAAATATTAAATAATATTACACTTTTTACTACGGTTTTGCACCGTAGTAGAAAGAAGACTTTCTACCACAGTGTTGCACTGTGGTAAAAATTCTTTTTTCTACCGCGGCTGTTTCTACCACGGTTCAAAACCGTGGTAGAAAGCCTTTTCCACCGTGGTAAAAGTCATTTTTCTTGTAGTGATTCCTTAGATTCTAACTTAACAAGAAAAATAAAAAATATTTAAAGGAATTGTTTACTCAAGAAAGCAAACAGCTCCAAAGGAGGTGGATCAACTCACTTTTCCTGAACAGAATCAAGCATTCCTCTCAAAATCCAATCACTTCCCGAGTGCATGACCTAACACCTTTCTTTTGAGTAATAGGAATATCAAGATTGTCTCCCTGTTACCGCGTTTTTACCTCGAATCTGTCCAGCATAGTCATTCCAAGCTGCATACAAAAGGCTTTATAGTACCCTAAATGGAAGGAAGCAGTTAGTGAAGAAATTCGAGCTCTTATGAAGAATTGTACTTGAGAACTCATAGAACTTTCCAAAGACAAACAACCTATGGGATGTAAGTGGATATTCAATGTTAAGTACAAGGCAGATGGAAGTGTTGACCGATACAAGGTGAGACTTGTAGCCAAGGGATTTACTCAAATCTACGAGATTGATTATCAAGAAACATTTGCTCCGGTTGCTAAGTTAAACACAATCCGGGTTCTTCTATCCTTGGCGATCAATTTGGATTGGCCATCAACTTGACGTCAAGAATGCATTCCTTAATGGAGACTTGAAAGATGAAGTCTACATGAAGATTCCTCCTGGTTTTAAGAACCCAGACAGTATTAACTGTGTTTGCAAACTTAGGAAATCTCTTTATGGCCTTAAGCAGTCACCAAGGGCCTGGTTTGAGAGATTTACCATAGCAGTCAAGAAGTATGGATACACTCAAGGCCAGTCAGATCACACCTTATTTATCAAGAAGTCTCCTTAAGGGAAAATTACCATCCTTATTGTATATGTGGATGATATTATGTTGACAGGTGATCATAAAGAGGAAATAAGTCGGTTAAAGAGTACTCTTGCCAAAGAGTTTGAAATCAAGGATCTCGGTACATTGAGATATTTTCTTGGCATGGAAGTGGCTCGATCCAACAAAGGTATTTATGTTTCTCAACGTATTTCTATTTCTCAATGGAAGTATACGCTTGATTTGCTCAAAGAAACAGCTATGCTCCGTTGTAAGCTCTCAGAAACACCTACAGACCCTTCCAACAAACTTGACATGAAGGAGAGTTCTACTTCGGTTGACAAAGGGAGGTACCAAAGACTGGTAGGAAAACTCATTTACCTGTCTCACACAAGACCAGATATCAGTTTTCCTATTAGTCAGTTTATAAACAATCCAACTAATGAAAATCTTGAAGCAATTAACAGGATTTTCAGATATCTCAAAAAGACTCCAAGGAAAGGGCTGTTATTCAACAAGGGGACAGACCGTAGCATATAAATTTTCTTAGATGTCGACTGGGCAGGATCCCTAACTAACCGAAGATCTACCTCAGGCTATTGTTCTTACGTATGGGGAAACCTTGTTACATGGAGAAGCAAGAAGCAATCTGTAGTTGCTCTAAGCAGTGCTGAGGCCGAATTCAGGGCTATGACACACGGAATATGTGAATGTGGCTCAAACGACTCCTAGAAGAACTGAAAATCCCTACTGAAAGTCCAATAAAGATGATGTGTGACAAACAAGCTGCTATCAGTATTGCTAAGAATCCAGTTCACCATGACAGAACTAAACATGTTGAGATTGATCGGCACTTTATCAAAGAAAAGATCAATCAGGGAGTCATCAAGATGATCCGTACTCCTTCAAGTCTTCAAACCGTAGATATCCTCACCAAGGCTCTTAACCAAGATCGCTTTGAAGTCCTTGTTTTCAAGCTAAGAATGATTGATATATATTGCCCAGCTTGAGGGGTAGTGTGGAAATTCTGGATATGCAATCAGAGAAGATCTTGGAGTGCAATCCTTTAGTTAGCTGATTCTGTTAGTTTCAAATAAAGAGAAGAGGATAATTAGTATCCAAATCTCTAAGATTTTTGTTAGTTAGTTTCCTATTTTACTTGCTAGAATCAAGGAGTTAGTTAACCTAGTTGTGAAGGTTCCCTCTCCTGTTTATTCTTATAATTCACTTATTCCAGAGAGAGAATGTAAAAATATCAGAGAAGAATTTTCTCCCATATATTTCTTTACTCAGTGATTACCATAATCCAGTAAAAGGATTATCAGGTCATAAAACAACTTAATATCTTCTTAACATTGACAATTGTCTTAATACATGTGTAGCCCATGAGCCCTTTATTCTAGGTAAAAATTGACTGCCTTTTTTTGGGTGTCTTGCATCGAACTTAATGATTGTTACTTGTCAAAAATAAATAAAAAAATAAAAAGGTTAATGATTGTTAGGAGTTGCCTACTCCTTTATGGTTCAATATTTAGGTGAATGGACTATTGTCCTCGAGTATGAGTATTTTTAAATTGGTTAGTGTTCCTGAAGTACATTTTAAATTGTAGAATGTATTAATATTTCCTAGGTAGTTTACAAGCATGGCTGCCCCTTAATTGTCACAACTGAGGAGGATCAGAAGTGTCATGCCAGCCTCTACCTGTGTTTTTGTGTGTGGGTGTGTGTGCATTGGTGGATGCCTTATGGAACCTCAATCTCTAAACATAGCGTGCTTAATATTACGTAGTGAGTAACTCTAATTGCACCACTAGTGGTATCTCCTATACCTCTCAACAGGCAAGGTGAGGGCTCGAGTCCCCATAAGAACAAATGGGTGTGTGAGTTTTTTGTCAATGAAAAAAGAAGTAATTGTAAGACAAGTCTTTTTAATTTTTCAAGTTAGGATGTCATTTTAATTTTTTATTGTATGATTTAGTAATCGCCCATAGTGGATGCACTTCATGGGTTCCTCCAAGATACACGGTGAACCAGACCATATTAGCATTTTCTTCTTTGTACTGGTTGAGGGGAACAACAGCAGGGGCTAACAATCGCATGGATCTACTTTCACTTGTTACAAGTGGTGTGGATAGTGAGGTTAATAGCCCTGATGGGGACATTCTTGGTGTTGTTGAAGGCTGGCAGGAGGATGAGACACACAACCCGGACGTGCCAGCTGTTTCACATAGGAGGGGTATGACACCTTTTGTTTTTGTACCATTTAAAGAGTTACATTTTTTGTCTTCTCTTGATTTTGCTTCAAATTGGCAAAAAGTGAAAACATTCTTCATGTTTTCTCAAAGAAGTTATGAATTATGCCCTACATGGTAGTTAATCGTTTATTTTTTGAATAGTTGAATTCAATGTGGATGTGATGAACCTAAAATAGGTCATTATCCATTTTTAATCCCATCTATGCTGGGTGTTGGGAGGGGTGAATTCGCCACACGCAACCTTTGTATTCTTTTTGTACACAAAATGGTTGCTTTCAAACTAAAATTTATTTTCTCATGTTTGGCAACCCTAGCTTTTACACCAAGCAATTGTGTGAACCTAAAATATTTGATGAACATTGCCCCATTAATTAAGCGTTAACACATGAATCATCAATTCTGTCATTCCACTCTTTTCTTACAATTTGTGCCTAGGTTATTTTTGTTCTTCGTATTTCCAGAGCAATATTGCCAATTGAAACCATGTGACTCTTCCTGATTTGCGCAATCATTGCACGTAGCAAAACTATCTTGAACATGCAACAAAAAGCTCTCTCAATTTAGAAAGATTAGTTATTACACTTCAAAATATTTCAACCGCTTTTCTCTCTCTTTTCAGTCTATTTATAGACTTTTACAATTGTTCTAGAAGCTTCCTACTTCATTCTTCACGTTGGGCCGATCCCTTGGGCTCGTCCTGGATATGGGCCCACTTTCTTTGCTTTGAGATTGGGCTTTAGGACTGATTTTTTGGTACTGGGCCTGATAAGTGATGATCTGATCGGACCAAGTATTCTTCCCAGACCCTCTTCTAATAATCTGGGTCATGCCCGGCCCAGGTCATTTGGTATCCTCATCTCTCAATCAAAATTTTCTCATTTTATGTCTTACTTCTTTCCACGAATGTTTAAATTTTATTTTATTTTATTATATCTTCTCTCACCACACATCTATTTATATATCCATATCTCCAACCTGCTCGTTTTTACGAACATTTGTTTCCTGATCTCCTAGCTTTCTCTTCCATGTTTGACTAATCTAGTTACTATTTTTTTTATATAGAATTTGTCTTTCAACTTTTTATTTACACGTCAATCGCACATTATGCCCTAAGAAATCGTCCATTTAGCCCATCGTGCTTTAGTTCTACCCTTATCATCTCTAGCTCTCCTTTCCTACAAATAGTCAATCCTTGGTGACAAAACGCATCTACTACTTCTCTAGAGTTTCGATCTCCACAGTGTCCCAATGTGATTCATATATTTAGTAAAATCCTATTGATTATAAGTAGTCTTATTATAGACCTTCTCTGAATCTCTAATATAGTATTTTTGTCATGTTAATTTGATCACTTAAAAAACATCATTAACAAATACCAAATAGTATAACCCCAAGGGGTTGGCTCAAGTGGGCAAGTCACTTGGTCCTGATGCCTCAAGAAAATTAGGTCTAAGGTTCAACTACTATTAGGTGCAAACGATTCCTTTGAAGGGGAGGGTGAGTCCCTAGCCTTTCACAAAATGGATTTTCAATCTCTAGAAAAAAATATATATATCAAATAGTATGGAACTTCATCCTAAATGTATCTAGTAAATTCATCCATAACTAAGTAGTCAATTTGTTGAATCGTGTATTTATCGAAATTTG